TTATTCCAAAAGTTACATTATAAACAATGAAAATAAAATATAAACCTAACCTAAAGCTTGCGTTATCATTAGAAATACAATGATGAACAAATATCATAATAATGTCGTCGGTCAGTATCGTTGTCGACTAATACTGTCGTCAACTAGAACTGTTCAGCAAATCTGAAGTCGATGATTTCAGTGTAACCCGCAATATTTTTATATCTGAAATATCTCGACTTGAAATAAATAAAATGTATTCAACGTGTTTAAATTTATTTCAATCGTGAGCTTTTATCGAGCCATAATTCGAATGGTTTGCACGATCGAAATCTCGACGATATTTTCGTCGCGTCTAACCAGTCTCGTGACAAAAAGCACTCCGCCCTCTGCTCTGTCTCTTCTCTCGCGAGAAGGGTGGATAAAACGCAACGTGAAATTGTGCGAGGCTCGTCGTGTCAAGTGTAATGACTTCACGGTTCGTGCTGCGTACCGTGAACCGTATCTAGATTCCAGCAGAGAAGGATGAAAAGATGTGAGAAGTAAATATGCGGATTGTTTGCGATTTCTTCTCTCTTTTATTTTCCTTTTTTTTTTTTTTTTTTTTTTTTTTTTTTTTTTTTATTATTAAAAGTTAAATTCATTCTTCTCTCTAAGAATAGAAGGTGTACGTATGTCTCGTCGAACGAAAAAAAAAACGATTAAGTCGCCTCGTCTGCAATTTCAATGAGGATATCGTCCGATCTCTGACACTTTCCGATACGCTCGTTACGCCGATATAAATTGTTTTGTCACCGACAGGAGACTTTTCATATCGAATCGCGCGATATGACACGTTTCAAAGTGATTAAAGTATTTTCAGTATCATTCGTTACTTGGAATTAGAGAGGCAAAAGTATTTTACAAATAACACATTTTCCTTTTTTTCCGAAATTCTCGAAAAGTACTTGGAGCTTCCTTTGAAATTCTAAATATTCTCTTCTCAGGTAGCACGGAGTAAATTCATAATGCCTGAAATAGAAAGTGATGTTTGCAATGTTAACAATAACTATAAATAAATAGTGATGTTTGTAACTATGACAATATAGTTTCTCCAGAGAGATACTATAGGCAACAAAAGTTAATTAACAGCGTAGAATTGTTTCCAACGTTATAGCGAAATATTTATTAACTTATTATAAACACTAATGGTTGGCATAATAATAATACTGATGGTGGCATATAATACGAAATGCATGAGACTTCTGATAACAATATATGATTGAAATTACTATATATTGTTCGTTTTAATCCAATTGTAATAACTAATAGATACATAACTCTGACTAGAGTTATTAATAACTATCAGTTATTATTACGAAAGTACAAGAGTATTAATAACTATTAGCTATTATTAACAAAGTACAAGAGTATTAATAACTATAAGTTATTATTAATAAAGTACAAGAGTATCAATAACTGTCAGTTATTATTAATAAAGTACAAGAGTATGAATAACTGTCAGTTATTATTAAGAAAGTACAAGAGTATTAATAACTATCAGCTATTACTAACAACGTACAAGAGTATTAACAACTATCAGTTATTATTAACAAAGTACAAGAGTATTAATAACTATCAATTATTATTAATAAAGTACAAGAGTATTAATAACTGTCAGTTATTATTAATAAAGTACAAGAGTATTAATAACTATAAGTTATTATTAATAAAGTACAAGAGTATCAATAACTGTCAGTTATTATTAATAAAGTACAAGAGTATGAATAACTGTCAGTTATTATTAAGAAAGTACAAGAGTATTAATAACTATCAGCTATTACTAACAAAGTACAAGAGTATTAACAACTATCAGTTATTATTAACAAAGTACAAGAGTATTAATAACTATCAGTTATTATTAATAAAGTACAAGATTATTAATAATTATCAGCTATTATTAATAAAGTACAAGAGTATTAATAACTATCAGCTATTATTAATAAAGTACAAAAGTATTAATAACTATCAATTATTATTAACAAAGTACAAGAGTATTAATAACTATCAATTATTATTAATAAAGTACAAGAGTATTAATAACTATCAGCTATTATTAATAAAGTACAAAAGTATTAATAACTATCAATTATTATTAACAAAGTACAAGAGTATTAATAACTATCAATTATTATTAATAAAGTACAAGAGTATTAATAACTATCAGCTATTATTAATAAAGTACAAAAGTATTAATAACTATCAGTTATTATTAACAAAGTACAAGAGTATTAATAACTACCAGTTATTATTAATAATGTACAACAGATGATATGTTTATCTTTCACTGCTATATATAGTACTTACGCATTATACGATGAGACGGGATAATTAAGTGATTATTATGCTTCGTGACTGTGAATTGAATGATTCCCATGACCTCCATGATCTGTACTATGATCATGATCTGTATAATACATATCGTATGACAGGAAAAATATAACAGCCCAAGTAAGAAATAGCAGTATGAAAACGAATAACATCACACTGTTAAATTTATCCCATCCGAATATTATTTCGTTAAGCGACTTGAAGTCTTTCTTGAACGTAACTCTTGAGTCTATACCGCAGTATCGTTTACTCTCACTGGAAGCTTTCATTTTCAACTTCTCTGTCGCTACTCTCTCTCTCTCTTTTTTGTTTCTTGTTTGCGTACTGAAAATATTTTACATTTGAACTTTTCTAATAACTCCACCGCACCAATACGATACGACTGAATGACCGAGATACCGATTATGCTGTACAATAAAAGGGAACTTTCGATTAGATAACGATTGTGTCGAATCGATTACAGTGTGTGATTCCCTGCATCAACGTCAATCAGTTAGGACCGCATGGATTCAATAAACGTTCGTTTCTAGCGTAATTTATTTTTTTAAAAGAAAGTTGTCAGAAAGTTACATTAACGTGTTGGCGTTGAGGAAATATCGTTTGTGAAAATACAGTTTTCGATTTTGAAACGGAATTGACCCCCTGTGCAGTATCACGAGAATGGAACTTAAGTTTGAGAATTTACAAGCAGCAATCAATGTTATTTCCGCTGGACTTTTCCCAGCTGAACACCCAATAGCCAAGAGCTGCGCCTAATGCTACGGCGATGCAAAGCCAAGCGTTGTACGTCATGAAAATTAGCATAAGGAAATATCCTATGACTAGCTGAATAACGTGAACGACCGTTTGGAGAATGTGCATTCTCGAGAAGAGCAATTCACTGAAACAAAACACGTTCGTTAAATAACGAAGGCATGTGCCTCAGTTTTTAATAGTAATGTAAAACTAGTAATATAGGTTACACTAGATTGGCAGTAATATAGCATGAATGTTATGTATATCTCGTTACATTTAAAATAATAATACTAAAATAATAAAGTAACATAATAAAAATAAAATAAAAATAAAGTAATAAAGTAATATAATAAAAATATAATAAAAATAAAATAAAAATAAAATAATAAAGTAATATAATAAAAATATAATAAAAATAAAATAATAAAGTAATATAATAAAAATACAATAATAAAATACAAAAATAAAACAATATAAAAGTAATATAAAAATATTATGAAAATAAAATACTAAAGTAATGTAATAAAAATAAAATAAAAAATAATAAAATAAAAAAGTAATACAACAAAAATAAAAAAAGAATAAAGTAAAATAATAAAAGAGAACGAAGAATAAAAATTTACAATTATAAAGATGTATCTGACAGAAAAGAATACACACCTCCTATGCGATTCTGTTTTATGTTTCCGTAAACGTGCTGTATTGATATACAAATGATCCCTAAACACACACGCGCATACGTAGAGAGAAAAGTATAAATCAATATATTTCGAAAATCCCATATACATAAACTTAGGTTATGACTCGCTTCCGAAGGAAGGAACGGAGCAAGTTACTCACCGATAACTTTTTATCCCTTCGTATATAATCGTTAAGAGAATAATGCCAATCATGGACGCCGCAATACCTGCAGAATCCCTCGTATGCCATTGACGAAACAAAATCACTTCGGCACCACCGACGTGAAAGAACATCTAACGTACAATCAATTTACACGGGGTCAGAGAAACGAAATCGTTGGCTAAAATTAATGAGATTGAACGCCGTTCTGTTACTCACTTCCATTTTGTGAAAATTGCAAAAATTAAAGTACAGTGTCGAGTATCTTGGGCAAAGCCAGCATACGGTCTTGTGAGATCGTCAAGCATCAAATATCCGTTCGACTTCTTTATCAAAATGATAGATAACTTATCGACAAATCTCTCGCTTCTATCAACAATTTTCACCTCTCAAGGCTGTTAATTAATTTCTTTTAATAATTCAATTATCTCGAAAATAAATGATTTAAATATATATATATTTTTTAATAATAATAATAATAATAATAATTAAATAAATATATATATATATATATTTGTAAAATAAAAAATTTTTATTTTTTATTTGTAAAATAAAAAAAGTAAATATATACCTAAATTAAATGTTTGTCGTATTCATTTACATCTAGTTTTCTTTTTAAATAAATTTACATTTATGTATAATAATAATTAATTGAATATTACTATTTATTTAATTTCATTGTATAAAAAATTTATGGGCTAAGCTATAAATTTAATTATATTATATTATTTTTGTTTCCTCTCCTTCTTTAGAAATTAACACGATTATCGTCTAGTTCGAAATTTTAGACTCCACGTCACTGCAATTACGGCGTGGTATCAAATTCTCGATTGTTATATCGATAAAACGGATAGCAATTAATGAATCATTCTTCCCGCTTGCTCAATTAATTATAATATGTATATATACCATTTTTATACTTTGCCGCGTGATTATACATACTTCATCTTGCTACGATACGATATATGTATATGTATATCCTGATGAAATCAGAAAAGAATAAATGTTGCAACAACTTGTTGCTTCCACCATGCATTATGTATGGATTTAGCTTTATTTTGCTGCTGTATGTGAAAGAAAAACGGAACACATTAGGCGTTCATACTATAAGGAAATCGTTATAAGAAAATAATAATGGATATGAACGATATTCGTTTATAATTGTTTTTTTTTCTTCTTTTTTTTTTTTTGTTTTTTTCTATGTTACTATAATTTTTCAAGAAGAGAGTGAAACTGCCTGCAACGAAATCTCGTTTCGGCTTTCGCCCTCCAATCTGTTCAGACGGGTTCATCGTCCCACATACCACTGCGAGAGTAGTTAGTACGGGCGACTGCGTGATTCCCTGCCATACATCGTTCGTCTTTGAAAAATCGTTCGTTCATTTGCTGAAACTATTTTTCATCCATTTCAGCGCGAAGCTTTCATAACTTCGGTAGAACATAATTAGCATTGAAATTATTTCTCGTAACAGAGAGCACACTTGAAATACTCAACGCGTACGATAAAGATGAACAGATATCGAGCGCAGTAATGTAAGATTATTTTAAGTGCTGCGTACGTTGACAATATTCAGTTCCATCGGTTCTTTATTAGAAATAATTTGCTGGTACAAAGGACAACTGTAAATTCAATATAATAATTTTAATATAACATAATAACTTTAATATAATAATTTTTAATATAATTTTTAATATAATGTAATAATTTTTAATATAATTTTTAATATAATATAATAATTTTTAATATAATTTTTAATATAATATAATAATTTCAATATGATTATTATTATTAATTTTTAATTTTTAATTTTAACTTTTATAATTAATGTAATAACACAATTTTTAACAATTTTCGTAGCTTCAGCTTTAATTATTAAAATTATTAATCGCTTCTTTCATAAAAAAAACTGCATTTAAACGAATAAACAAATGTTGATTATTTCCAGTGCTGCGTACATTGCCTGTTGTCGATATTCAATTCCATCGGTTCTTTATTAGGAACAGTTTGCTAGTATTCACAAAGGACAATTGTATTCGTTCTGCAGTGAATGATCCTTTTAATCAACAATATAGACCATTGTGTATGTACAAGTGTAGTCAGGGATATTCGAGATCGAACGTCGTGTTGCATCGAGGTTTACATTTCGAAGAAACGGAAATAAACGCCTTTCTCTTTTTGCAAGAAACGGTACATATCAGACGAATGATTGTTCAAAAATTATTTTGAGAACTATTTTTGACACACCTACTTTTAAATCTCGAAGCAATCTCGTGCTATCACTGTAATACCAAAATTTAAGCGCTGAAGTTTTTTACGGTCAATATTGCGTGTGTTACAATATTTGTTGCTTAATTGATAACGCGCAATATTTGGGATCGTTCAGAAGATATTTTGAGACCATTTTTGAAACTTACTTTTAAATCTCGAAATAATCTCGTGCCACTATAATACCAAAATTTATCATTAAATCATCATCGAAACACTTCGAAAGTATCTTAGCGAGTCATTGTGTGTGAATTTATTGCTCAATTGATAATGCACAATATTTGAGACAAATGATTGTTTCAAAAATTTTTTTGGGGCCATTTTTGACACCTACTTTTAAATCTCGAAGCAATCTGTAATACCAAAATTTGCTAGGCAACGCTAAAGTATTTTAGCGAGTCATTGTGTATATTTATTGCTTAATTGATAATGCATAATATTTGAGACAAATAATCGTTTCAAAAATTTTTTTGGGGCCATTTGTGACACTTACTTTCAAATCTCGAAGCAATCTGTAATACCAAAATTTGCTAGTCAACGCTAAAGTATTTTAGCGAGTCACTGTGTATATTTATTGCTCAATTGATAACGCACAATATTTGAGACAAATGATCGTTCCAAAAATTTTTTTGGGGCCATTTTTGACACCTTTCCGACTTTCAAATCTCGAAGCAATCTGTAATACCAATATTTGAGACAATTGATCGTTCCAAAAATTTTTTTGGGGAGCCATTTTTGACACCTACTTTCAAATCTCGAAGCAGTCTGTAATACCAAAATTTGCTAGTCAACGCTGAAATATCTTCGCGTGTCATTACCCGAATTGGCAAATCGGCCGATCGAATTATTGGAATTATTGAAAATTGGAGTGAGTTTGAAAGACCGCCATCACCGATCTCGTGTCTCGCTATCGTATCGGACTAATAGACTGGCAAGGAAGCTTGGACCGGCGAACGATCGAAATGTTAACACTGTAGCCGCGAACGGAACGCCGAACGAAAAAGAAGGCATAGTGGTGGATGTTAAGTTAATCGATTTCTCTTTCTGTCGCTTCGCCGGCAGAGAGAGGGTGTCCTCCCCTCGCTTGGCGATCAGGCAAGATGCCCGCCCGGCCTGCGTGAACGAGGCGGGCGCAACCTGTGGCTGATCCTGACCGCCGCGCCTCCCTGCGTCCGGAAATTCAGCCACGCTCGATTCTCAAACTCCCCCTCAGTGCCATTCTCACCGTTCGACCGTTTACATGGACGATGCTGGCTCTCCTCGTAACGAAAGAAGCCCCGTCCTTTCCGTCTCCATCCATCGTTCGTCTGTGAACGAGCTCGATCACCGGTACGTCGGCGGCGATGAAACAACGATGCAACGACTCGTCCGGACGCCACCGAACCGAAGCAGAAGACACGCCGCGCCTTTTTCTCCACGAGCTGCCGCGCCACGCATAAATACTTCCTTCCGGTACAATGTTTCGCTAGTCTCGCGGTGAGGTGCCGGCTCGACACACGCGCCAGATCGTCCATAGCCGAGGTAAAAAAGGCTCTGCGAAGAGAGAGAGAGAGAGAGAGAGAAAAAAGAGGGTCATTCTCGCCGATCACGATCGGTTCTCCACCGATGGATTGCCAGCTGGATTTCTTCCTCACCCCCGCACGTTTGTGTCCACGTTTTCTCGCCTCCTGCCCGGGAAAAGGTTAGTTCACCACTTTGCACATTTCACTCGAACCTCGGATAACGAAATTCGAAAATAAATTACGCTCGTTCGAGCGTTCCGCCGAACGTGTATGTGTTTTCACCGAAATTATCACTTGGCGATAGTCGTTTCTCTCTCTCTCTCTCTCTCTCTTTCTCTCTCGGTCGGTTTTGGTTATGTCGGCGATTAAGCAATCGCTGCGAGCCGCCCAAGACTGGCTTTTTGTATTTTCCGTTTGTTCGGAGGGATCTCTCGACCGCGAAAATGGGCAGGGTCAACGTTCTATCACGAGGCATCGTCCGTGTGACACACACACACACACACACACACACACACACACACACACACACACACACACACACACGAATGCCTCGCTACGCGGTTGCCTCTGTGTGGACACCGACAACGCGAGTACACGATGAAACAAAAAGTTGCGCACTGTTTCTTCTTCTGTTGGAAATTCGCTCGCTGAATAAAAGAAAGAGAGAGAGAGAGAGAGAGAGAGAAAACTACTTGGCTCTCGTACGACAGCTTCTCGAAATTAGACGGAAGAAAGTAGAAAAACCGAGGAATACGCCAGGCATCCAGTATAGTATATGCCGTTCGCGCACAATGTTCGCATGAGTGGATCACGCTCGTTAATTAAGCGGTGATTAAAAAATTGTAAGACCTAGAAGAGTCCTCTCTAATCTTCTGTGAGATTAGAAATGTTTTTCTGTGAAAAATGCATCCTACAGTTTATTTTCCTATCGTACTCCGTTGCGAGTTTTATATTGCTTACCTTTTATTGTGCTTGCTTTCGTTTGTTAGAAAAAAAATAGTGTAAAAATTGCCAACTTCAAACTTGATGATTGAAACTGTTGTCTGTGAAAAATACATCGTACAGTGTTGTTTTTTTATTGGTATTCTGTTCTGAGTACTTCCATCCGTTTATAAGAATTAATTATTCAATTATCATAGCAAAAATTGCAAATTCTATTTGAATGTAAAAGATACATCGTACAGTTTATTTTTTATTGTATTGTGCTCCGAGTACTTGTTTCATGTTATCATTTATAAAAAAATCATGGAAAAATTGCCAACTTCAAACTTGATGATTGTCTGAAAATGTTGTCTGTGAAAAATACATCGTACAGTGTTGTTTTTTTATTGGTATTCTGTTCTGAGTACTTCCATCCGTTTATAAGAATTAATTATTCAATTATCATAGCAAAAATTGCAAATTCTATTTGAATGTAAAAGATACATCGTACAGTTTATTTTTTATTGTATTGTGCTCCGAGTACTTGTTTCATGTTATCATTTATAAAAAAATCATGGAAAAATTGCCAACTTCAAACTTGATGATTGTCTGAAAATATTGTCTGTGAAAAATACATCGTACAGTGTTGTTTTTTTATTGGTATTCTGTTCTGAGTACTTCCATCCGTTTA